CCTTTTTTAAACTCTGAAAATCAGTGTAGAGAACAAAGAAAAAGAGTGCAAGAGTAAAGGTTTGAGCTATAGGTAAAGGTGTAGAAAAAGCAAACTCTCTCTACCCTTTTGGTAGTTCTTCAAACCCAAACTTAAACACTTAAAATAGGATCAAAGCAACACAAAACAATAAGAACTAGGTAGCAAATGAAAGAAATGAAAGCAAGAGGGAAGATAGCAAGCTTATACCTCTCAAGGGAGTAAGCTTTTTGTTTGTGATTAAACTAAGCTCCAACACACTCTCAAGCTTGAATTATGGTGTTCAAAGCTCAACCAAGGTTCCTAGGCTAAGGTATGAAGGTATGTATGGTGTATAGATATGAGTTCAAGGTGGTGGGTTAATGCAAAGTGTTGCTTGCACAATAAGAAGGAGAAGAAGGAGCTCTCAAGGTGATATAATGGCTTTCTTGAAATTTTCCAACCCTCAAAACAGAGGTATATGGTCGTTTTTATAGAATTTGAGCAAGAAATATCATAAATGTCTTCAAAAATGGACAGCTGGCGGCCTCCCGCCTAGAACAGGGTTTCTCGCTACCAAGGCCTGGTCGACCCTCAATAGCCATGGCCGACCCTCAATGAATTCTTCTATTTTTATGTTTCAGCCTCAACATAGGGTGGCACAAGGTGTAAAAGTGGATTTCCCGGATATAATCAATGGGAATATCGGAGGTTTGGGACACAACACCACTCTCATCATTGAGTGTACTAGATGAAGCGCTCAAGCCTTACGGGCAGTCAAAAATGGGATGTCCACAACCGGCTACACATCTAGTCACACCACAGCCCCTTTGAGGGGAAATCCACTAGCCGTTGGCGAAAGAAGTAAGCTCTGGCCGAATACTCGGGGCAAGGGTCCACTATTTTTAGTTTATCCATCAACCATACCTGGGAAGGGATAAAAAAAATAGAGAGATGTACATTGAGAGAAAAGTAAGGAAAAGGTTTTGAGAAAATAGAGAATGAGGATTGAGTGATAAGAGGATCGTAAATAAGAAGGGTGTGAGACAATACCTGAAGAAGCAGTGGACTCCCTGCAAATTGAGTAGTTTCTCGCCGACGGAAAGCATCTAGGCCCATCAAGGTCTCGGCCAATGCCAGACCAATGCATCTCTTGCCTTCTTTCAGACATTAAGCTACCTCAATCAACCTCATATTGGCTTCGCTGCAACTAGGGGCAAGAAGGAAGTGTGCGAGTAAACATAAGTAGAGGGCATGTTGCCGATAACCTCACTAAAGGAGGTCGCCTCTGTCTCTAATGGCGGAAAATCGACGAATCAAACCTGGGATGTCCAACTCCTCATCATGAGCTAAGGATCGAGCCTCGTGCAAAGTAAGCCCACACATTCGTCCCAAAGCCTAGGGATGGCCAAAACTGGGCTGAGACATGATTTCTTCGTTGCGCCGGAATTCCATCAATGCTTGAAATTCTTCGAGCGTCGGACACATTTATTGTGATCCAAAGCGAAACACATGCGTAATCAGGTTCCACCATCGGACCGCGGTGTAACGCCCCAAATTTTTTTGGAACATCATACAATTTAAATTACAAATAACTTGCTAAATAAAATTTTCACAACTAATTAGGGAAATTAAATTCTCACATAGTCCAAGTTTAACAACAAAACAAAATTATGAGTCCGCATATAATATTACAACGACTTTATAATATTCGTAATTACTAAAACAAAAGATATTAAAATTTTATTTTGCTATATTCTTGTTTTCAAGTTAGCCATGGTTTTATATTAGCAGCGGCCCGAATTTCGACTTCAGTCCCTTCCTCGTCATAATCTACCATAAAACGCCAGGGCAACAAAATATATGCCATGAGTTTTGCAACACAGTAAGAAAACATAACCAACCTATCATTCTTTTTAAGAGAAAATAATCAGATAATAATCATGACAATTAAGACAAAATGACAGAATTAATAGCATGATGATATAACAACAATTTAAAATAATTTTAACAATTGTATTAGTTTAGGTGACACTTAAAATCTCACCAAAGAGATTTTCTTACCAACCACTAAGCCATGGCCACGGTTAATTTGGAAACCCCTCATTGGCCAAATATTCAAGAACTACCAAAGATGCCCACGCTCGGAGTTATATACCCAAGTCGTGGCATCCGTGGTCTGCCCCAAGGGAACTATCTGCCAGGGGTACATAACTTCCTTGCGTGCCACCTGCACATCCACCCTTATTCCAAAATCAAATACCGATAAGGGTTCAAATAAGTCCCATGCCATCTTAGGGTTTCGCGACACAATTTACATGAGAATTCTCAAAAACCAAGACTCATCTTGAACAACCGGTATTAGCCCTCGATTGTTAACTTTATATATATCGTTAATCACTCTAGTTAGTTTTTACATTAATCACAAATAATTCAAATTTTAATCACCAATAATGTTATACTAGCTCATTAAAATTCCCAATATAATATATTACACATGTCACATAATAATAATTCAATGTACAAAATTTAAATAAACAATTTATTTAAACCATGGTATGAAATGATAATTTGGATATAAAAATAAATAAATCATAATCACATACATGCATAGATTTTTAATTTACAAGATTAAACTAGCACAATATTAAATAAACCACAATACACCCATACATAGATTATTAATTTACAATATTTAATGAATTAGACTAACACAATAATTAATTTTTATCCAATTAATTAATTGAAGTAATGATCTTAAACCTGTCCAGAAATTTTTAGGTTATACCTTACGTAATAAAAATTATAAATAAATTATTTATACAATTCTAAAATTCATGAAAATGTCCAGAATATTCAATAAAGATGTTTAGGTTATTTTTCAAAAAGCATTTCTCAAAAGTACGTCATAAATAATTCTGTAAAATTTTCAAAAATTTTATGACACACATTTATCACATTTTCTTAAATTAATTCCATACTTAAATTCATAGATCAACTCCATAATATAAAAATTTATTATGAAACTAGACTTCTCAAATTTCATCTTTTAGTTAGAAATTACCAGATTTGGCTTAATATAGAATTTGTAATAAATTTTCAAACATATAGTAAAATCTGTCTTACAGTTTCAGATTTAATTAAAAATTTGTATAAATTCGTACAAAGCTCAATAATTGTTGCAAACATTCCTGGATGAACTAGACATCATTCTCAACAACTTTGTAGAAGAAATTATCTTCAAATTTTGAGTATAAAATTATCTAAAAATTCGTACAAATTTTCTGGCAGATTTAAGGGCCAAATAAAATCTTCAATCCTCTCTTTAATGGTATAAACTACACATGCAAACCTATTTCCACAATAATATCATGACTTTAAGACTATCAATATCTTCAAATATTTGATATACACATCACAAAATTTATATACACACATATATATATATTTCTGTCTATAAGTTAGTCATTTTATCATATGAATATAATCTAAAAATTTCAACAATTTAGAAAAATGAGAGGGTTGAGAGGGTTTTCTTACTTAACAATAGGATGATGAAATGGTAGAAAAATTTAGCTTCCTTAACCTCCCACTCTTCTTCTTCTAACCGTGCTCACAGAATGCCTTTGCTCCTTCTCTCCTCACTCAACTTCGTTGGTCTCAGATTTCTTTTACCTCTCTAATCAAAGGAGTAGTATATATATATGCATAGATTACATGCTGAGCTTTCTCTCTGTCTCTCTGTCTCTCTTTCTCTCTCTCTCTCACACACACACACATATCATTCTCTCACATCCAATCCAATCTTCGAAATCCAAGAAGCATAATGAGCTATTTTTTCCTATATTAACATGTAAGCAAACAAGTGGCAATGTTGCCACTGAAAAATCTGCCAAAGTTTTATTTATTTATTTTATTTTATTGTATGGATTTCTTAAAATTGATACACTAAGATTTTTAACTAAGGTATTTAGTAAGAATAATTATTGTATTGAATCCTTATTAAAATAATTTATAAACAACAAATATTGAACATCCACAAAATTATTATTCTTAATAATATCTTTGTTAGTGACTGAATTGAGTTAAATTAAAACTAATTTATACATTAATATATTTTTATATAGACTTTGGATAAAATTAATTAACTAATTAACTAATTTATTTATTATTTTTTTTTGAATAATTAAATGCGAGTTTTCATAATCTACCCCCCTAAAAAAATTTCGTTCTCGAAATTAATTCCTACCTTTAGACTCGAAAAGTTGAGGGTAATTGGCACGTATCATATCTTTTCGTTCCCATGTTGACTCCTCTGTCCCACGATGTCTCTAGAGAACTCGAACCAACGGTATAGTTTTACCTCATAATTCCTTCTCGCAACGATCTAAAATTTTGACAGGCCTTTCTTCAAATGTCACATCTTCGTCAAGATTAATTTCCTCCTAATTGATGATGTGAGAATGGTGCAGCTCGTATTTCCGTAGCATAGAGATGTGGAAAACATTATGTACCCCATTCAGTTGAGGTGGTAGAGCCAAACGGTATTCCACCTCTTCTACTTTGTCCAAAATTTTGAAAGGCCCAATGAAGCGAGGTGACAACTTTCCCTTCTTTTTGAAACGAACAACTCCTCGACGAGGTTATATTTTCAGAAACACATGATCTCCAACTTGAAATGCTAAAGGCCTTCTCCCTTGATCTGCATAGCTTTTCTGCCTACTCTAAGCGGTCTCAAGTCTTTGTCTAATTAATTTTACCTTCTTGGTAGTTTCTTGAACTAACTCTGGCCCTAAAAGAGGTGCTTCTCTGTCTTCCGTCCAACATAGTGGTGATCGACAAGACCGTCCATACAAAGCTTCATAAGGTGCCATACCAATACTTGCTTGAAAACTGTTATTGTAAGAGAATTCGACTAGTGGTAAGTGTCTCTCCCTACTACCCTTAAAGTCCATCACACAAGCTCGGAGCATGTCTTCTAAGGTCTGAATTGTTCTTTCTGATTAACCGTCAGTTTGAGAGTGAAAAGCTGTACTAAAACACAACTCTGTACCCATAGCTTTCTGCAAACTTTGCTGGAATTGTGACGTAAAACGAGAATCACAATCTGACACTATTGAGACTAGTTCTCCATGCAACCTAATGATTTCTCGAATAAATAATCGACTTAATGATTCGAGTGTGTCTGTTGATCCTAGTGCTAGGAAATGTATCATCTTAGTTAACCGATTAACCACCACCCAAATGGCATCATGGCCTTGCCGCGACCGGGGTAATCTTGTTACAAAATCAATTGTCATGTGTTCCCACTTCCACTCAGGTATTGGTAAAGGTTGGAGTTTCCCTGCCGGCTTCTGATGTTCTGCCTTCACTTGCTGACATGTCAAGCACTTAGATACGAATTGAGTAATGTCCTTCTTCATTCCACTCCACCCATACTGTCGTTTGAGCTCCTGGTACATCTTGTTTCCTCCCAGATGAATTGCAAAACCTGAATGGTGAAATTCTTTAAGTACTTTTTCTCTCAATTGTTTGATGTTCGGCACAAAAATTTTATCTAAATACCTTAAACTACCATCTTGATGGAGCATCCAATCCGATGAAGATTTCCCGGACACTAATCGTGCCTTGATGAAGTTGGTCTCTTGATCAAATCCTTGGGCTTCCAACACTTTGGTAAGACGTTGGGGTGTTGTAACTATCGCAAACAACCTACCTTTCCCATTCTGAGTCTCTGGTTATAACTTACACTCATTTACGGTGCTTACCATTTCCTATTCTTTAATTGATATGTTGGCCACAATCTCTTTTGTCTTTTGACTTAATGTATCTGTTACAACATTAGCCTTTCCGGGATGATAAGACAAAGTGAATTAGTAATCTTCAAGGTACTCCATCCAGCGTCTCTGCCTCATGTTCAAATCTCTTTGTGTGAACAAGTACTTCAAGCTTTTTTGGTTGGTAAATATCTCAAACTTTTCGTCATAAAGGTAATGTCGCCAAGTCTTAAGTGTATAGACCACAGCTGCCAACTCCAGACCGTGAGTAGGATAATTTTTCTCATGATTTTTCAATTGTCTTGATCCATAAGTCACTACCTTCCCGTTTTGCATTAACACACTACCTAACCTTCTTTAGAGGCATCATAATAAACCGTGTACCTGATGTCACGTTCGGGTATGATTAGTATAGAAGCATTTGTCAGTCTCTTCTTGAGTTCTTGAAACGACTGCTCATAAGTTTCGTTCCATTCAAACTTTACTCCTTTTTGTGTTAGGAGTGTCATTGGCTTGGCTAATTTGGAGAAATTTTGAATGAATCTCCTATAATAACCTGCTAATCCCAAGAATCTACGAATCCCAAATGTATTCTTAGGTTGTTTCCATCCCATTACTGCTTCTACTTTAGCAAGATCCACTGATATTCAGACACAACATGACCTAAGAATTTTACTTCCTTCAACCAAAATTCACATTTGCTAGCTTTAGCATACAGTTGGTTTTCCTTTAGAATTTGCAAAACGGTTCTCAGATGTTGCTCGTGATCTTCCTCCGATCGTGAGTATATCAAAATATTGTCAATGAATACTACCACAAATTGGTCCAAATAAGGTGTAAAAAATTTGTTCATTAAACTCATGAATACCCCAAGTGCATTCGTCAAACCAAATGGTATTACCACGAACTTATAGTGGCCATAACGGGTTCTAAACGCAGTTTTGGGTATATCTTCTTCTTTGGCACGAAGTTGGTAATATCCCGACCTAAGGTCAATTTTGGAAAAATATTTTGAACCTCTTAATTGATTGAACAAGTCATCAATTCTTGGTAATGGATATCAATTTTTAATGGTAACTTGATTTAGTTGTCGATAATCGATGCACAATCTTAAGGTTCCATCTTTCTTCTTCGTGAATAATGCTGGCGCTCCCCATGGAGACGTACTTGGTCTGATGAAATTTTTATTCAACAATTCTTGCAACTGCTCCTTCAATTCTTGAAGTTCAGCTGGCGCGATACAATGTGGTGCTATAGAAATTGGTGAAGTCCCAGGTTGAAGCTCGATCGTGAAATCTACGTCTCTTTTTGGGGGTAATTTCGGTAATTCGTCAGGGAAAACGCCAGTGTACTCGCACACCGCGTGGGGTAATCCTAGATGCTTTCGATTTTCGTCTTCCAATATTAAGCTTGCTAACCATCCAGTTAGTTGATCATGCCACCGTGATTTGCGACACGTTGGAGTTAAAGAATCTTGTCTATCTCCTTTAAATTGAACTTTCGTGCCATTAAGAGAGGATACTATCACCATCTTACGGTAACAATCAATAATGGCTCAGTGAACTGACAACCAGTCCATTCCTAGGATGACGTCAAAATCAGACATCTCCGTAACTCTTAGATCACAGATCAAATATGAACCGAAGATTTCTAGTTCACAAGATTTACATACTAGATTTATTCGAGTTTGGCATTCTAAGGGTGAAGCAACACTCATAGCTATCTCTAACGTTTTTGGCTCCAAACCCAAACTTGACACGCATGCAGTGGATATAAAAGAATGCGAAGCTCCGGAATCAAACAATACTTTAACCCAAGAATTCATAAGGATTAACATACCTTGAATTACTGATGGGTTACCAACATCTTCTTCTTCTTGGAGAGCATGCATTCTTCCTACTGCCTGTTGGTTAGTCCCTCCTGGTTTCTTTCTAGTTCTAGCTCCTTGTGGTTGTGTTCTTGGTCGACCTGCATTCCTAGAGGCTTGTGGCTGCCCCTTGTTGGTCTGAGTATTTTGAGTAGGCTTATATAGACACCCCATTTTTGACCGTCCTCAAGACTTGGACATCACCGTTTGAGCTCTCGGTGATCATCCATGTTTGTGTTCGTCTTGAGTTCCCGGAGGTTTCGGCCACGCGCCTTGCCTCAGGATCACTCGACTGGACTGTTTTGTATTTGGTTTTGCACCAAACACTTGTGTTTTTGCTTTGGAGGGCAGGGAATGGCTTGTTGGCCATCCCCACACCTCACCGGCCATGGCTTGAGGCCACCGACCATTGTTTTATTTCCATCGGCCATATGCTTGGTCGGTCGGCACTCTTTGTGGTCGGTCGACCATGTATTTTTCCATTTTGTCATATTTGGCAGGCCGACCACTGTGCATCTGCTTTTGCAGATATTTTTATGCCAGATGTGCTAGTTGGCATACACTTTGCACCCCCTCCATACACGTGTATGGAGGGATTTCACTCTTGCTTAGCTTGTCTTGTAAGCTTTGCAAGAGTGATCCTCTATAAGAGGAGGGCTTCTCCTCCCTCCTCAAGGGTTACAAAAAAGTTCCAGAGAGCTCTGAGATTAGGGTTTGCATAGTGTATCTATCTATCTCTATATCTCCCTCTCTTTTTGCCTTTGTGTGTGTATAAGTGTGTTTGTGTCTTACTTTTGTGCATAAACACCTAGTTTTACACTTTACCTTGGTTACTGAGGAGCCATTAGGTTATTCTTGAAGTTTTGAGCTGGTTTTGAGCTAAGAAAAGCAACTGGAGTGCTGTTCTTGAAGGGGTCTACAAGGGTAAGAACTTTACCTTTAAATACCCTATTTTTGCATAGTCTTTTTGCCTACCTTGCATCTGTTTTTGAGCTTAGTGTATAACATATAAAAGTCTTGTTTTTAATTGCTTAAAATAGTTGTTTAAGGTGGCTTTGAGCTTTGGGGTTGTTTGACCCCTCTTAGGCCTTGTTTGGCCCCCATTTTGTGCTATTTTGGTGAGCTCCGGGACCACCTTGTTTGGGCCTCCTCACCATTGAAATCTTGAGGGATTTCAGTGGTGGGGATGGTGTTTTAAGGTCCTAAGAAGGAGAGGGCCACCCCCTCTCCTTGTTGCCTTCAAAAAGTGCCATTTTAGCCTCATGTGTGAGCACCATTTTTAAGTTCATGTTGGCCATGTCTTAAGTGTTATTTGTGCTTATTTTGTTATGATATAGCACTGTTTTTAGTTGGTTTAGACACACCATGCATGCTTAGCATACTTGTCTTGTAATGCCATGAATTTGCCTTAACATGCTTTGTGCTTTGAGCCTTGTTCTAGCATGATTTTGGCCAAGTCTTGTGAAGCTTTTATGCATGTTTTAGTATGCTTTAGCTCTGTTTTTAATTTCTTTGGCCATGCTTGACATGCTTTGTATAGCCACCTTGCATTTTGGCTTGCTAGCCTCGGGTGTGTGAGTGTTGAGCATATATTGCTTGGCTCGTTTCAATGGTTTGGCACCACTTATAGCATCATTTCAGTCCCCATGGTATGCTTGTATGCTTGCATTTGATGCTCCTTTAATGTTTTAAAAGGTTGTAGTCTTGTGCTCCATGTTTGGCCTCTTTTGTATGCTTCCATGTGTAGGCCACTTAGATGCTATCTAGGTGTGTCCTTAGCTTTGTTTAGGTCTGCCTTGGGACTATTCTAAGTCCTCTTCGCCTTGTGAGGCTTGGTTGGCATGGCCATGGTTTAAGCCCCTTGGCTTACCTTGAGTTTTGGACATCGTTGAATGCTTAGCTTGTCTTGTTTACTTGGTTTGGCACATTTTATAACATGATTTCAGAGCTAAGTATGCATGCCATTAGTCCATGATTGTCCTCTTTTAAGTGTGCTTAAAAGTCGCTCTTTAATGCCTAAGTGTTGAACCATGTGTGCATGCATGTTTGTATGTCATTTTTGCCTTCATTTCCTTGGCATCTGGCCACTGTTTTGGGCTTATTTAAGAGCTGCCCAAATTGGTATGAGTCCATTGTTCGCGTGTTGTTGCACGCCCGCCTTGTGTGTTGTTGAATACTTGGCCTACCACATGTGTTGCATGCTTGAATCATAGTGCATTTGGCATGCATTCTCATCTTTGTTTTGATTGCTTAACATGCCACATGTTTTGCATATTTGCATGTTGGCATTGCATCTTGCATACTCAATTAGCTTGCATACTTGTTATATGCTTTCCATGCTTGCCACATGTTCATGTTGCCTATTTAGTTTCCACGCCTAGGGTGCATTGCATTGAACATGCATGCCTTGCCTCTTGAAATCAAGTGATAGAGGTTGGGCCTTTATGTGCTTATTTGGTTTGCATTTCATTTGACATGAAAGTGCACAACTTGGTTTCTTGGGCCATCACGCATTGAAATGCGCGATTGGTGGTCCGAGAATCGAGTACTATCCCCCTTTGAGTCATAAACATGATAAGGGCTGTATTGGTGAACACATTTGCTTGAAATGCATTGCCATGCCTTGTTTTGCCCTATGCTGCTGTCAAAACAGGTTTTGTAGGAAGCTTTGGCCGGTCGACTATATCAAGTGCCGACCGACCAATTATTGATGGCCGATAACTCCATAGATGGTCGATGACCACTTCTATTTGGCCGGTGACCATTCCTCATGGCCGGTGGCATTCCCCAGTGTTCATAAGGTATACCTTGGGAATTGTGCCATTTCCAGAGGAGCAGAGCAGGGAAAACAGAGGCAGCTTGTGCATGGCATTGGATTTCTGGGCGAAGCCAATCCGAGCACGCGTGCATCCCTCTTCCCGAGGCCTTTTAATGCTTTCCTTAGCTTAATTGATTAGGTGGTCTGTAAATTATTTAATTAGCTTGTAGGTTAATTAAAGTGTATTATTCTTTTGGTCCCTCCGAGCGAGGGCAAATTTGTAATAAGTGTGGGTGCGTGTGTGCATGTCTTCCAACCCCCACTTCTTTCTCCCTTTTACTTTCCTGCTTTGATGGTTAGTATTAGGGCATGTTTAATTTAGCATACCTTATGCTATGCATGCGTGCATCATTCATCAGTCTTGCATGCACCGGGCTCGGCGCATCATGCTAACCGCATAGTATTTCAATTCCAAACTTGAATACGTGCATCAAGTTGTTGCATTTCACATGTCATCCTTAGATTAGCCGAGCTTGTTCTAATGACATTCGGTATGCGATACATTAGCCATTTGTTAACTTGAACTAGGATCATACATGATTACTAACTATTTCATTGCTTTGGCACGGAGTACGATGTAAGTATTTATGCTTTAGCATCTCGCATGAGTGTGAATGTTAACATGACAGCATGCTTACGATGTAGCTATGTGCTTATGTGATATTACTGCCTGAATGCCTGTGGGTGAAGGTTAGATTGTTTGAGTTGGAACAACTCATTGAAATCCGTGTTTTTTTAGCCTACTCGTGAGTAGCAGATTTCAAATCATTTCCAAACAAACGGATATGCGATGCTTTGTTCCAAATTAGGCGATCTAGTCTATATTTTTGTGTTGTGCGCATCACATAGTAAATCGAGGCTAATAATCGGAATAAGAACACATAATGTTTTCAAAACAAGATATCATGGTTAGTAGAGGCTGATCTTCGGATCGGGTGAGAGGGGGTGCTCATAGCTGACCTTCCCCAATCGTACCCAAGTTCACGAGCCGAGGCAACTTTGGTGATGACGGACACGTGGCTTTAGGCAAACGAGTCAGGGTTTCCTAAATTCCCCCATAAAAAAAATATTTAGGTGGCGAGTCTGTATCTGGCAAAGCAGTCCATGTTTGGCATTTCTTTACAAAAATCTGTTTTCCAAAACGATTTGCCGGATTTAGACTCTTTGGTGATTTATCAATCTCACATTGCACATTGTGAGATCAGATTAAGAACCGTGACAAATCGAGTCCGAACTGTAGCATGAGGCCCGGGGGCGCGTCTACAGCTTAGAACCTTGCCTTGGCTGGCATTTTTTGTATTGTTGCGCCCCTCGCTGATCCATAAAATATTCCCCACCTTGAGGACACTCACTTCAACGACGTCTCCATTGACCACATCTGAAACACTTTCCTTTCCACTAATTTACAAAGTTTCCTCCTTACTGGTTTCCTTGATTCTGCCATTGTTGTTGCTGCAACCCTCCGGCATAAGGTGCTGGTGCAGGATGGGTTTTGGTGTTGCGGACTGGACCTCCTCCTCGTGGTTGGTTATTGTTCCTTGATTGCTGATTTCGAATGTGTTCGGGATCCGCTAATTCTCGTTCCACAATTAAAGCTCGATCCACCATTTAAGCATAGGTGGAAAGTTGCACTACGATCAGTCTTTCTCTAATGTCTGTGTCCAAACCCCATTCAAATCGTCTAACCTCATCCTCTTCATTTGCTACTATGGCTGATGCGTACCGTGAGAGAGCTTCAAAACGGTTCGCATATTGAGTAATTGACATTTTTCCTTGTTTTAGTTGGAGGAACTCCTGAATCAGTTCTTGTCTTAGCGAGTTAGGAAAATACTTTTCCATGAATAAG